TGATATTAGATCGAGTAACTCGTGTTTGTACGGTGTGACGTGATTTTATAGTGCGCATATTTCAAACGCCCATTTCAAAACAATAAGTTGCATAATCTAACAGCCAAACTTAATATTGTTATGATGTGTGCAATTATGGCGAAAGATATCTTCCAACGTCAACATGCTTTCGGATAGCAACACCGACTCAACAGCACCGTAACCGATACCTCATAATAAAATTGCATTACAAAGGTTGTCTTGTGGGGTTACCTCACACAACACAATATTTTATCTTTCATCATGTTACCGAATAGGGTATATACGTTAGACGTTAGGGCTGTCACTGCTATAAAAATTAAAAAGCATTAGTTATTATTGACCTTATTGTTCACCTTTTTTTTTTAAGATTGATCTATTAAATAGTTTAGTAATTAATATATGTTCATATTAAGTCATGCAAGGAGTAACCTTGTCTTTTATTTTTCTTTATCCATTTATAAAGATCATGATATGCTTACTGATCTTACGAATGCCATACATATAACATAATGTGGCATATTATGTTTGGACGTTATATATCTGTTTATTGTTGTGCCAACCTTCGGCTGTTTCATTGTTGAAACGTTTTGTAAGGTAATCGCTCCATTGTCGTTTTATTAACGTGGATCATTTCGACAAATGTCGTTTGTTTTATCGCTCTGCCATTACAATTGCATTCTCTCGAAATCGCCGCACCATTTATATCGACCGCTGTGAACGTAGCTCCCATAATGGCGCGACTATTTTCGATTTAAAATTCAGCGTAATACCTTTTTATGGTGACAACATGGGGGCGATACACGCCAGGCATGTTGTGGACGCCGCCTCGTCTGAATGAGATATCGTGTTTATGTCGATTATATTATGGTTCTCGTGGAGCTATCTTAAGTTGAATACTTTTATGTATAATAATTGTCTTGAGTAGACTGGGGTATTTTCTAATTATCTTGTTGAATGAACGTCCAACTTTACTTGTGAGGAATCCTTTATAAAACTGTTAAAATTATAGAGATCATAGGATTGTTTTGCTAACCCCAATCGTTCAAGATTATTTTTCTGTGTAAGCAAATCTTATCCTTTAAACAAGCAATTCTTGTATATGTATATATATAATTATATATAATCGGAATCTCGGAAACGGCTCCAGCGATTTTCATGAAATTTAGAATGTGCGTAGATTCGGGTGCGAAAAACCGATCTGGCTAGGTTTCATTTTTAGAAAATGTCGTTTTAGCCCAGTTTTCAGGGAATGAAAAATATCATTCGAATACGACGGTAAATTTCACCATAATTTTTTTTTTTTTATAATAGCGGTAATTGGGCGGCCCCGAAACAGAAGGCCGTGGTTTGTCACGATCATTTACACACTTATTTTTTTACTTTTTTTTCGATTCCAGATCATTGCTTTGTTTATTTTTTATTTTTTTGTTGTATGATTTCGTATTTTTGCCCCTTTTTTTTAAAGTTCTTTCTTTTGTGAAAAACACCAGTTCATATTTTCTTATTATTACATCGGTAAGATCAAAAAATATTATACATATTTCATTACTCAGTAATTTGTATATAAATGTAATTTCCAAAATACACGATATACAGGTCCTCCAGGTACTATGGTATAATTGTTCACAAATATGTTCTCAATAAGTCAAATCAGAAACAGCTACGCTCTTACGCTCTGTTCGTCCAATAAAGAGGCTATAATCATATGATTAGTACCGTAAAAAAACTGTTTTTAAAAAACTATACACGTTGGAGCACGTTGCTGAAGCTAATTAACTTAAAACATAAAGTGTACATCTTATACGGGCTTGAAGATGATAGAAGATAACGTAAATAAACATGGATGTGCTTGTGCGATGAAGAATATTATTTATCTAATACCGTCAGGAAAAAACTAAGTATGTACACCTGTATTCTCCTGTAATTTACATGAATCCTGTAATGTTTACGCAACGCTCTTCGAGTCATTTAATTTCACACGTTTTTACAGCAAAGTTGTAACGCGAAAGCCACAAACCGAATACTTTACTCTTCGAATTGAACTTTCACCAATTGAAAGGCATCGTTAGACATTTGTTTCTCCCTATAATTGAAGCTCTTCCGCGTCCGCTAATTGTCCACATCCTACCGATCGCGTAATCAATCTCAATTGGCCCAATAAATAAGACCGGCTACACCGTCGTAAATGATTGTCACCTCTATATTGAGGGGCACTATTGGTGATACTTTGGTTATTATGTTTATCTCTTTGTCCTTTAACATTCTAGTCATTGCCACTTGGTTAATTAAATGCTCAAATTACATTTGACGTCTGCTTTTACGCATTATTTTTAAGTCCGCTCTTTCAACCCTCATGTCACTGCTTTGAATAAATAATTACGCGGGTCCAAGGTCTCATTACCTTGCGAACCATGTTTTTTCGACTAGTCATAGAATGTGATTATGACATTACTTAGCATTTTTATGTCAATTGATTTGAATAATATAACTCGAAGAAGTGATAGAAATAATCTATCGTGTCTGTTCTCTTCACTACATCATATAAATAAAACAAATTCCTCCCAACGCGTCTGTTTGTCTGTATGATCGCGATAAACTCTAAAACTGCTGAATGGAATTTATTCAGTTTTCACCAGTGGACGAAGTGATTCACAAGTGTAAAAGAAATGTAAACGAATGTGATGTGTGTGAGAAGCCTGGCTCGGGTCGCTAGTTTATGATTAGTGATGTTTATGTATTCTTAATGTACTCCTTAAATAAAAAATAACACTCTAAAGAAGATCATCAAAAAGAGAGCCTATTTCAAGCTTAACCTTTGCGGCTCCTCCGTTGCGAATACTCATGGGCGGTGATCGTTTTCCCTCAAGTGACCTATTTGTTTTAGTTCCTTAGCCGCTACGTAGAATATGATGATATAGATGCGGATTTGACAAAAACGCGTTCCGTCTATCAGTATTTGATCATTACATTTACCAGCACCCTATCTATACTATATACCATCTACATATACTACGTAATGTCTTAACACTTTTCTATCTGATGTACTAACATAATAAATAACCTTGCACAAAACAAAATGACAGACAACGCAACCAACACATTATCTCTACACGATGACAACGATCGATGTTCGATGACACATAATTGTGTTGCGAATAACCATGGCGGACTGTGGGAAACTGTGTTCTTGCCATTTTATGAGATAACTGACGTGTTCTCATACAAAGTCATCATAGGTTGCAAGCAAATGAATCACGACTCTATGTATTGACCAATATGGTTTATTATGATTTGTTATTTCAGCTCAGCAATTACACGTTAGTCTAGAGCGACCATTTTTAATATGTATATCTTCTTTAAGGACAGTTTGAATAATCGATCAAAAAATTTATAGTCACGTAGTAGTATAAATAATAATAGTATAGAGAGTTAATTTAAGAGAGAGAGAGCGAGTTTTTTTTAATATATTTTAAGCTTATCGAAAATTATGAAAATTAATCAGTTGATATTTTATTTTAAACTTATTTTGGCTTAAAGTCTCAGAACTTTGAAGGTTCTTTTCAAGAAATAACACAGTAGTAGAATCACTAATATACTTCACATTTATAATTTAAGACCGGCGATCAACTATTTGGCTTTAGTAGTCTAAAGTAAGTGGCTCGGAGAATAGTCGTGTTCAGCTAGTCTACTTTGTTTGTTGCAGCTTGAAGCACTTTTAGTCCAGTCAAAATAGACGAAAAAAAATCATAACCTAGCCAAAATTCGCATAGAGCTGAAAATTGGCAGAGAAGTTAAATACATCATTATAAATAAAATTTCAAAAATCCCCTTCGATCCTACTTCTGCAAAAAATTTTGTCCAAGTCAAACTGCAAAATTAAGGTTGTTTCCATTTTTCTCGAAAACGGTCAATTTATCGTAAAAATACATCAGACACAAAGTGTAGATCATACAATTCTCTGCAAAAATGGGTTTCTCTACAAAAACTTTTTCTCATAAGAATTCGCAAGATATAGCGGTTTTAACAATCACAAAATTCATATTTTACATAATATGCACTTAAATGCAGCCTGTACACGTCATCGGATGTTCAAAATACGGACGTTAGAGATTTTTTTTGACAAATTTATCTAAACATTTTAAATCACGTCTACAGTGCAGAGACTGTCACTTAAATTATAAGATTAAAATTCAACAGAATAACTGATATCTCTAGTTTTCGAATAATCTTAGTAAAAACGTAATTTGAGAAAGTGTGTTCGCTGTGAGCGAAGCATAGAACGCTAAGCATTGCAAAAAATGCAGTAAAAACATAGGAGATACTTATGCCGATATTTTCGCGCAGTGAGGATTTTCAACCGCTTAGCCTAAGCTAATATGGCTAATAAGCCACTAATGGCTAGAGCGTCTAGCTGGACGCATAATCACGAAAAGCTAAGCGACAATTTTTTTCACACACTTTTTGTTACAAGGCGACAGCTGGCGGTTCACCTTATGTTAAGTGATAACCGCCGCCCATGGACAACTGCAACACCCAGAGGGTTACAGATGCGTTACCAACCTTCAATTAATTGGGCAAACACACTAATCAACTGTGGTAGGACCACGCAATAGTGTTCGCTGTTGCACGAATGGGCAGGGCCGACCGGGTACGCTACAACCTCACATTAGACCGGCGTAAACTGGAAGTATCATACTTCTGCGTTTCGTCTGGTGAGTGAGGTAGCCGGAGTTAACTTTGTTAAAAGGAAAAGGGCAACGCATCTACAACCCTACAGGCGTTGCAAATGCCCATGGGTGGCGGTCATCACTTAACATCAGATAAACCACCAGCTCGATTGCCACTCACATTGTCACATAAAAAAAAAGATAAACCAGGCGCAACGCACAAATGTGACACTTCCACCTCACGCGGCCTATTATCATCGGTGCTTCTTGCTGCCGTAGTGGGCACACCGCCTGACGATCGCACCTTTGCAGGAACAGCGGGCAGCTGCGCAACACGCTCAGCAGGGCGCGGGAGCTGTGCGAGCGGTGGCGCAACGGGCGCGAGACGCCGTCGCCGCCCGCCCCGCCGCCCGACGACGAGGGCGGCGGCCGCCTGGCGCGCTGGTTCAGCGTGCGCCGCGGCTCCGCCCACCACTACGACATGCACTCGCACGACACCGACAAGATGCCGAAGCTGCCCGAGGTAAGTGCCAGCCCGCGCTCGGCACACACTGCCCCGGAAAACGGGCATCGGGGAATCGAACCCCGTCGCCCGGGGCATGGTCTCGAGGGCGCTCCGTGCCCCGGGAAATGTGACCTCGTATGCTCGTATCCGCTCTGACAGTGTGGTGATTAAGTTATTTTTATTTATTTATTTTATTTTATTTAAGTGAGAAGTCATCCTGTATGATGAACAATGGCGCCTTCAATGCGAATACAACTAGTCGAACTTTATTAAATGCGTCTGGCATCGCTGCGAGATCAAATAAATAAGTCCCCGTAACGACATAGCAAACCGGATGCTACATGCCTCGGTTATCGCCATCTGACCAGCGTGGAGTTTGGTAGGAGGCGGTTTGGAGTCTGTCTAAGACGCAATTAGAAAATAAATTGCAAGAAAGATGTTTTCCAATACAACTGTATAATAAAGCTTTTTATCTTATTGCTATCAGTACGTGACGTTTCAAAATAGATATATTCAATATGAGGGAAGGGGAGCTCCCTATGTCATATATCCAAACGAACCGTTTAAGAAGACCCACGTGGTCTCATTCCCAGCAGCTCAATTGCCAGGCATGTGTTTCCTAAGTGCTTTTGTGACCTTCGAAATCTATAACCAGCATACCGAATATTGAGCAGCATTTTAAAAAACGCACATTTGAATAATCGTGAAAATATTACAGCCAAGCGAAAACCAGTGCTTAATATTTTTAACATAAATTAACAACAATATTACGAATGGATTTGCGTTTGTTTTTTCTTCGTATCAGCACACGTTGCTAAGTAATTTATTGTCTAGGAAGTAAAACTTTGACTTGGGCTGATACGTTTATTGCCCGATTACTTTAGCGAAGCAACTGATTTTATTTTACATTTAGCTGTTTCCATTTCTTACACATGCGACATGCGCTAATTGAGCATGTCCTTCAAAGTGTTTTTATTTCTAAGTACTAAGAAACGTTCACGTTCTTTGCTTCATCAGGAAGTGTGGTACTGAAAATTATGTGAATAATTTCGGTCGGTGGTTCAATTGTTAAATGGTTTTGAAACAGGCGGCAGTATAAATATGGGCCATAATTAACTTGTGTCATCCGACAGGATGTGTAGTTAACTTAAGTAGTTTGCGGATGCCGCGACAATTGTGCAATTTATTCAGGGGATTAAGCCAATGTCGTGTAGTCGTATTATTAAAAAATATTTATATAAAATGTATATAACTTGGTTTTAGTGGGAACTTTTTAAGTTATAAATTGCGGCACATTTAAAGATGGTGTATTTTAATGAAATTTAATGTTTAATCAACATCAATAACTACTACGGCTACTGGATATAGAATTTGGAAGTAAATATTATGGAGCTAATGTCAAATACCTATCGCTAGTAACCAAATCTATCTTTAGATAGAATATTGAAACCAGCTGTCAAATAATTAATATACCTATTAAACTTGTATGTTATAAAAGTGTCTTTAAATTTCCTAGATTTATTGATATTGATTGGAATGTCATTATTATAAATACTCAACATTATAGTCTTTATTACATTATCGTCGTACCGTAATTATAATAAACGCATCATTTTGTGAGTTTATTTTATGAGAAAAAAACGTTCCTCAATAAATTCTAAAATAATTTTTGCCCTTCTCGTCTGTCCTGAACTAGACTGAAGAACGAACCTCAATTGGTATTTATAGCGAAAAATTAAACCATTTAACGCCGTCTCTCGCCTCGCTGTCAATGAAGTAGAAACGATATTTTCCTACCATCGCGCATCGATCACTACCTCGGTAATTTCAAGAATTTATGAACGTCATACAAAACTCCATCGTGCATATAACCGCATATACACCAAACACATCGCCTAGTAAATTATTCAGGCGGCTAACTGACTCATTTATAATATAAATGAATCACCAAACCATTGAGTATCTCGTCATTCGACCACAAGTCAGTCGAGTCGGCGCGGAGACGTCTGCGCACACACAACTCGCTAAACAAATAATCTATTTAAACATGTGATATAATGATTCGCGATCGCTGTCCAACGCGGTGCCACGGTGGAGTCATGTTTACGATTGTAATTTTTAACATCAGTGTATTCTTAGTTGAACGGCATGGATAACGTGTCACTCGTAAATGTCAAAAGATAATACAAGTTGTGTTTTGGTGGCCTGAGCGAACATGTTCTGCGTGAAGCTTCTGCACGATAAAGCCCAATATGCGATGGCGACGTTTGACGTAAGTCACGTGACCGTCCGCCGGATGTTACTTTTTGACATTTACGTGCCCGTAATATTCGGTCGGCGGTTGTCATTGTCTGGACGGTGTCGTTATCCGGTCGCGAGCGATGGTGACGCGAGCACGATTGGATGATGCGATCGAGCATTTTTTTTTTTCTATTTTAAACCAACGCCGCCAACGGAATTCTTCGTGTGCGAATGTTCTCGTGTGGACCGTGTACGCGCGAGCGAAACCGTCTCATCTGGACGCAGTCTGGAAGCGTAGCGTGTTATTTATAGCGGCTAAGTGATAATGCAGCGGTGAATAGTGTTCGAGTTTTATTAAACATGTTTTCTTGCTCGCTGAAGCGCATGAGTTCGTGTATTCGAATTGCACTAGGGTTGCCAGACGTCGCGACCTAATTGAGTTAATCTTTGAAGTGTCGTTCACTTAGCTCACTTCTTTTTCAACACTTAAGATACCTCTATGGTTATATAAGATTTTGAGCGGCTTAATGTACTGCCTTTTGCTTCTTTGTCCTTAGTCCGTCTCTATTGCGTAATCATAAACGGTTTAATGGTAGAAGGAAGCAACGTGTGGCAACTTTGATGTTTTCTTTGTAAACACGTCGAACCGGTGTACGTGAACAGAATGCTAAATTAGCTTCTATTCGTATCCGCCGTTGTCTTTGAATAAATACAACGAGTGTGGTATATGGACGATATAAACTACTCATTATAGCATTTTTATAAGCTCTTTTTATAAGACAGATAGTGGCACACTCCCTTAGTTTAACATATGCATATTCATCCACTTTTTTCGTGTGTCTTTATTCTTTTCATTGCTTATTCTTAAGTTCACAGCCGTCTCTGAAAAGTTATAATATTTGGTCAGTAGACTTTTTTCTGGAATGTTTCAATACCGCACACGTGCTCCGCGGTGAAGGAAAACATCGTGAGGAAACCTGCATATTTTCGAAATAATAACAAAAAAATATATATTTCGAAAATATGTGAAGTGCGCCAATCCGCAGTGGGGCCGCGTGGTGGACTATGCCCTGATACCCTCTGTATAGAGGAGGCCTTTGCCCAGCAGTGGGACATGTATTGGCTGTTACTTTACTTCTCTTTTCAATACCGTAATTTTTTTTGATAGTTGCTTTATTAATACTCTAGCTGTAATGTCCATCATTCATTCTTTCTAGATACTCAAATTATCTCAAGATCCTTTTTCTTGTACTTAAAATAAATTTAGCGGAAACCTTTTATTGATTGGCGTATAGCTGTTCTTAGTCTTCCTCTTTTTAAATGCCACATTTTTTATCTCATTGTTTATGATTCAAGCAAAGCTAATGATGGAATTTATGCGCATAATAATAATTAACTATCGCGTGTGAACTGATGACTATCATAGAATTCACCTCTGTAACAGATTCCCACTAAACAAACAAGGAAAAGTGTGTCACCGTAGTCTTGGCATAAAGAAAGAGCGTTAGAGAAATTTTAACTTAATCGTCCTTAATTAAATTGTTAAAACAGGAGATGTTTTGATAAAATAAGTAGGAGTCTGGCAACTCCATATCATATTTTATGTAAGCCTAATAATACCACTCGTAAAATTATCACGAATAACTATATCCTTGGCAATGAAGACTAAAATGTAAAACTTCGATCTATTCAGAACGGGCTTTTGTTTTTATAAACCGATGAAACGTGAAATCCATTACGTAAACGCTGGTGGAAACGCTAATACGTGAAAATCCGCACGCACAATATTTACATTTCGCCGGCGGATCTTGGGAAGCGAACGTTACACGCATATGTTTATCGTTTCCGTAAATTTTGAACTGTAAGCCTTCACAGTTTAGCCGTGATATCTCAGTATCCGGGCGCTCGCTTTTAATTCAATATACTCGAGCAACCTGAGTTCAAATCCCGATGCCTGCAACAATGACATTTTTAATTTTAACTGCCGACTTATCACGTGCTCAGCTGCGAAGGGAAAATTCGTGAAGGAAGTGCATATTTTCGACATAGTGACAAAAAAACTAACTCCCAAGATATGTGATATCTGCCAATCCGCAGTGGGTGTGTGTGGTGGATTATACTGCTGCTTTACTATGTTTACTTTTAAGACATCACAGATGTCAAAAACTCGCCGCCCGCGGGGTAGCAAAACGTGGAAGCAGGACGCCGCCTGTTGCGCTCTCTGTCTATCTTCAAGAGAGCGCTATTCGACTTATTACTCCGCGGGCAGCGAGCATTTGACATTAGTATATCTTAGCCATTGTTTGTTCCGTTTTTCGAAGGTTTCACTTGATTTTAGCTGGAGGAGGACATGTTCTCGTGCGGGGGGGAGGTCCGTGGCGGGAGGGTCCCCCAGCCGTCACTCGGCCCACCGCCAGAGGCCCTCAGTCCAGTGCAGCTAAGGCGGAGGCACGTGGTCGCGGCGATCATACACAGCGAGAACTCCTACGTAGCCACGCTGCAGAGGCTTGTCAACGTTAGTAATCTTAGTGCATAGCCACACAATACTTCTGTGAATGGGCACAGGTGGGTCCATTTTTCTCGCCGTTGCACGAATAGGCGATCTGTCCAGGTATGTACCAAGACCTTGTAGAAGACCGGCGGAAAGTGGAAGTGCTATACATCTGCGTTTTGTCTGTTGAGTGAGGTAGCCGAGGCCTACTTTATTAAAAGGTGACAGCGCATCCGCAACCCAACGGGTGTTGCGGTGTGTAATTGTTTTAACTGCGGTAGAGTTGTGCTCCTGTTTAATGGTTTGGCCTGCTCGGGAACGTACCACGGCCTTGCAGAAGACTGACGTCAAGAAATATTTGTACATGTATCTTGCATGCACGTCTTCCTACGTTTTGGCTACGTACCAACAACCCCACTGGGGTTGCGGACGTCCATGGGCGGTGGGTGGTAATAACTTAGTATAATGTGGAACGCTTTCTGATATGTCTCTCTTCTTGCGATCTACTCAAATGAGGTAGTCATCTGTAGTGAAGATGAACTGCCTTGACCGCACTCAATCGGCACGCGATCGTCGTGATTTTTGTATTAATCTTATCCTTTAAAGGAGCAATTCTTGTATATATATATTTTCGAAATATAATATAAATCTCGGAAACGGCTCCAGCGATTTTCATGAAATTTTGTATGGCCGTACATTCGGGGGCGATTAATCGATCTAGCTACGGTTCGTTTTTAGAAAATGTCCTTTTATCCCTGTTTCCAGGGAATGAAAAATATCATTCGAATATGACAGTAAATTACGCCGCAAAAAAAATGTTATAATAGCTCAGTCGGTAATCGGGCGGCTCCAAAACAGACTGCCGCGGTTCGTATCACGATCATTTACACACTCTTTTTTTTTATAGATCATTTTCTTTATTTTTTTTTTATTTCCAAAATACATGATTTACCAAAAAAAACGAGCAAAACTCGGTCCTCCAGGTACTAATAATAATAAGAGTAATGTCCAAATTCAAAATGTAGTGTCATCTAATAAAAGAGTACTTATGGGCTTTTTGTCCCACTAGTTTGAAAATGTCGAAAGGCCTCTGACTAAATCGACATGAAAAATGATCGACATCTTTCATGAAAAATCATCATGAAAGATGATGTATTTTAGTAATATTTTAGTTATCCAAAAGAGATATCAAGCTTGAAGTCCCTTGTGAGAAGATGACGTTAAATCAAGGCCACACACACACTATTACCTTACTTTAGCATTTCATTTTCTAACAAACTAATACATATGCACTCCGAAGATAACACACTCGACGGTTTAGTTAAGACTGCCTAAGATTAAGAATAAATTTTACGAACTATGTAACAGACTCTCATGTTAATCTAAAAATGTTTGCTACATAAACACTGCAATATAAATCGGTAGCTTTTTTAATACATAACAATCGGTTACCTCAAATGGCATAAGGAAATAAATGTTATTTCATAGTGAAACATAATAAAACTAGATCTGACGGTTATGTTTGAATTGCTAATTCATACAGTTTTTATGATAGATAATTGAAAAGTAAAAGGTTACCAGGGCGACATAAATATTTTAAATTCTTTTTATACTGGTGTGCGATCGTTAATATCGCAAATAAAATTACCGCATGCAATAGAAACGACTTTTACAAGTTTTGACGGACGTTAAATAAAGTATTGTCTACGCCCAGTTTCGAACAGCTATCGGGCGCAAATCGAATTAGCGCTTCCTCGGTACAGAGTACGCAAACACAGAGCTCGCAAAGTTATCTTATCGATTTGTCACCTCAACGAGAGGTATGCACGAAGCGCGTGGCAAATTATTACTTTGGCGGCCCAAACGCTCTGCAAATGCAAGGCCGTTTCAGGTGTTTGCTTTTCGCAACCGGCCTCCAACAGAAATAACCCGAGTTGTCAATGAAACCTGGTCTCGAGTGTTGCGAACGCAGCGCGACCGTTAAACCGAATGTATTTGGTGTAAGCACAATCGTAAACATTTTATTCGTATTTGAAGGAATGTTCAAAAAAATTTACAAAGGTTTGAGCGCAATCGTAAAGATATAGTTTATTCATTTTTGAACGGATAATAATTTAATATTATTTATATTAAATGGGTTCGCTTTAGTAAAAATATGGCAGTCTTTTTGGAAAGTATAATCGTCGTTTTGAAACATACCTGATGACTATGGTCATTTTGATGTAGATTATCCCGTTCAGTTGATATATAAACCTTTTTGCTGATTTTATCTGTCTGATATCTTAAGAGACCAATCACAAAGCAGTCGTTTAACTGATTAACACCAGCCTAGAGCTTTATCGTGGACTATTCGTTTTTGAACACTTATTTATATTTACATTACAGCTGGTAAATTATCATATCGACTTTGAATTATCATAGTTTTTGTAATTACTAGATTGGTTTGACTATTTTATCTTTATTCAATGGTCTCACTTCGGCGATTTGCATATCAAAATAAATATTCATTCTCAATGTCACCATCGCATTAAAATTCTATTAAGACTTCTGTTACACTTGCAGCGCGAAAACGCGTTAACGTTAAAGCTCGCCCAGTTGATAAATTGATTCAATTAATTACTAGTTTCACTTGCCTTCGTTCATTACCCGTTTCTCCTCAAGCTGAGCATTTCAATCAAAACACGATCCGTAGCGATTATCGAGTCAATTAAACGAAACACGTGTCACGTGCTCGACGTCGAGCGCGTGTTCCGAAACGAAACTGTTTCGACGCTTTTTATTTGACTTATTTCAATTAATATTATTCGCAATCGGATTCCGATTACGCAACCCGGAGAAAAGGTGAAATTCGTAAATTAGTTTCTTTTCAGACTTTTTTATTCGATTCAGCAATTTTGATCGAATCAATTAACGTCGAATTAAATTGTAGTAATCGTTAATTTGAGCAGCGCTAATAGTGATTTAATATTGGTAATTCCCTCAACATTGACTGGGCGTTAATGAAATTATCAAAGTGCGCTCGTTCAGATAAAAAAAAACAGTCTGAGCAACAGCGACTAATGGTGTTGCACATATGGAGAGGTTCATACAGGCACTAACATTTGCATTATCGCGACGATTAAGTCTTTTGAATATTATTCAAAATTGTACTATGTTGTAGGCTTATTAATGAAATAATTCCGGCTAGATATATTGCATGGGCCGCCTCCAGAGTTCTGAATTAAGCCGTTTCAAGTTACGTAAACGGTGCCCGTTAAGCGTCACTTGAGACGGTGAAAGGTGTGGATAGAATCAATTAGAATAAGGCGTCCGGATACATTGCGCGTACTTTGATTTTTCGCGGGTACTTGTTTAGTGGTTTCACTACTTAAATAGATTTAGAAAGTACCTTAAGATGATATAAAGAACGTATAACGTTACGCTATATGTATTGATCTTTTTCATTACGTTCCCTCCCTGTATAGTAAAATATAAGTTTAAATCGAATATTTATTTTGCTTATACAGATTATAACTCGAATGCCTTTGAGGGAGAATACTTGTTTTATAATATATGTTTATCACATTCTGATATACATAATAATTTTATTTGTTCTAATTGCGATTAATTCCTAAAAGTACGCAATACTTTTATTACCGCAAGAATTAAGAATTTTTTGACTTCGACACAGTACACAACACCATTTTCTACGTCGCAGCGTTTTGAGCATTGTTTAAAAACGTCCGAACACAAAGCCATAAGGCGAAGTGTCACGGAGACTGTCAAATGTTCCCGGCATGCGGGTAAACAAATAAAAGTCGCCTGTCCCACTTTAACATTGTTCGCCCACTTTGTATACTACGAATTTGCATATTAGGAAGTGGGGCAGTTTAACAGGCATTATTTGCGAGCTGGCTCCGAGGCCATCTCTTTATTAAATGGCGTCCGTGTGTTTATACTTTGTCCGCTGTGTTGTCGTCAGTAATTAGGGACAACGGTGGCTTTGGAAAACATGTCGGTCTGTTCATATTTAGAAGTTCTTCAGAACTCATAAATAATACATAAGAGAATTTATTATGAATTTAATAAAATAAATGGACATATAAAAGGCAGAGAAAATTAACATTGGTCCAAAAGAATTATTTAACCGTAGGGGAGTTTACTTGTGTTATTTAATTAAATGTAAATTCGTACAGGTTTTTTTCGAGAACCTAATTGATTTAAACTTTGTCCATTATGTCGTGACAGTACAGGTAGTAGCATCAGCAAACAAACAAAAAGGCGATTATATATATATATATTATTATAAGTTGGTCAAGTTGAAAATCGATATGTGAACGCTCACGCACATTTGCAAATCAAACTCGCCGTTACTATTCCGAGAGATGACGCCATATAACGATGTTCGCATTCGCATCTAAACGACAAAGTTCGAGGTAAAGCTAAAGTACCACTTAATAAATACTTCTACAATAATATTGATCGATACATGTACTTTTTCAAAGTTCACTTGAATTATTTGTGGATTGTTTTCGTAATGTTATAACTAGTGTTTTATTCTTTATATTATTTTTATGTTTACATAAAAAAGTTTCAAAGTCATAAAATATACATTAAAGCTTTGTGCAAACAATAGCGCTTGTTTAAATTTTTACGCTTTTCATATCGACCAAATGGCGAGTAAAGGGAAACACACAAACCAATCATATTCCTTTCTATATTTATGGAATATTTTTTTCTGATGAATAATTTTTATGATGGGTACTAACTACACTATGTATTTAGAACGCTTTTGCAAATGTTGACATAAAATTTCCTATACATTTATATATATTTAAAAATTACACAAAACATCCCAACCATGTGATTAATTCAACACAATGGGTAGCAAGGCTAGATTAGTAAACAATTTTTAATGAGGGCAACCCGCCGTCCGACACTAAATTGTTTACGTTCATTTATTTTTAACTCAACACCGTTGTTCTGTGTATGAATACAGATTTTAACGTAACTTGTTTATACCAATACGTATAACATTGACGCCTACTAAATATTGAGAACTCTTTTTTCCAAGTATCTGTAGAAAACATATTAATTTGAGTAATTAATTGATTTACATACATTAGAGTACGTCATATAATAATGGCTTCTCACTTTGATGTAAAGTATGGTGTAAGTAATCCGAATGGTAATATGAACAAATGAATATTTATCAATGAGAGGTATCTTACTTTGAAGAATAACTATAATATTTTGTCTAATTTTAAATCTAGGGTGTTATCAATAGATGACTTTATCGTAGGTACATTCCTTATATATAAGAGTTTTTAAACAAAAGTTTTTCATGAAAGCATTACTTTATTTGTCTATTTTTTATCAAAAGAGGCAAACATAAGCTTTGAACTAAAGTGTTATGTATGTTATGGCGTTCTGAACCCTTTGAGAAATATAGAGATCGTTTCATCCTTCCACCACTGGCCGACCAGACGCTCAGCAAAGGGTTCTCGATTTGTTTTCGACATGTATGTATGTAAGAAGGTGGCAAACGAACTGGCCTCTCATGGACATTTGCAACACCCGTAGATTTGCACTGCGGACCTGCCCTTTTGTGCAACTGTGTGACTGCACGTGGCCCTACGCAGTTGACCGCTAAGCCTCTTAAGATATATAGTCTCGTTGACTACACGCTTCGAGTCTATTTCGTGACTACGGCACTTAAGACGGTTTCTGAAACACTGATCATCAATTCAGTTGATTAAGAAGATCATTCCGATCAATTCAAAGAGCTTAACAAACTTTTTGGAAACTCAAATAACATTTGAAAATCCATTTGACAGCTGATTAGTTTACTTCAACGATGATCAGTGTTTCAGAAACCGGGCATTAGTCTCGTTTACGATTAGTTTCGTATCAGTAAAATGACCGCCGCCATCACCAGGACTACAAGAAGCCGCTGGAGGTGAGCAGCCCGGCGATACTGAACGCGAGCAAGATCCAGACGCTCTTCCACCGGCTGCCCGACATCCTGCAGTGCCACCTGCACTTCCGCACCGCACTCGTCGACTGCGCGCGCACGTGGGACCGCGACGAAAAAATTGGTGAGCGCCCCCGCCCCGTCGGTGTATTTTCGGCGGCAAATTTTATGACTCCATAGAGCATTTGCCGAGGCATCGGCTTCGGCGTCGGGGGTCGAGGGTTCGATTCCCATGCGGGTCAACTATTTGTGACCCACAGATAGTTGTTTCGCGTCTGGTTGTTTGTCCGCGTGAAATTTATGTTCGTAAAACGTCCTCACAACACAAGATAATTTTATTCTAATGGGCAACGTTTTAAAAATAGAACAAAAAAAAACGCCGTGGGGATGTGACGTCGACAAGTACGTTGGCAACAATTAGTCGTTCTCACACCTCACGTGGAACGTGGTTTCTTCGACGTGTTTGAATCGAGTTAGCGATTCGTGGGTGCACGTGAGATAGGAATATTAACATCGACCACTCCGATCTCGTTCAAATTATAGTTGCAATCGAGATATTAGTTGAGTACGCTATGCGATGTATTTAGGGAGAAAAATAGCAGTATGTTGATTACTTTATTTTTAAAATTCTGAACTGATAAAAACATGTTCACCGTGTTTTCGTGTACACTACATTGTTTACATTGTTGTCTCAAGACAATGGTAACGCCATTGACGATGACCTATTTAGCTTCCGAACTGTTTATACTATTATATCTCAAGTGAGAACTACCAGAGTATTAATATTATAAGATTTTTTGCTGTATATAATAACTATCTTTTTATGAAAATCGAAACAACAGGAAACGGGTGCGCGAGCAGAAATTGCTCCCTTGTAAATTATGAATATACAATTTTAACTTAAAGCCGCGTACCCTCATCGTTCTTCCATTCTGATTAATGCTTGCCAGAACGTTTATGGCATTCTAATTGCAGTTAAACGTTGCTTTAGTCGTCCGCTCTATGGCAACCATTTTCTTAAGTACCCCTCTTCCTAGGTTTACGAACTTATACCACAATAATATTTAAAATTAGAATGTTGGGGTTCAAGCGTGTTCATTTCTTATCTATCTAATACCTTTAAACGAGCAATTCTTGTATATATATATATATATATATATATATATATATATATATATAATTGGAATCTCGGAAACGGTTCCAGCGATTTTCATGACATTTAGTATGTGCGTAGATTTGGGCGCGAAAAATTGATCTAGCTTAGTTTCACTTTTAGAAAATGTTCTTTTATCCCTGTTTTCAGGGAATGAAAAATATCATTCGGTAAATTTCGCCGAAAAAAATGTTATAATAGCTCGGTCGGTAATCGGGCGGCCTCGAAACAGAAGGCCGCGGTTCGTGTCACGATCATTTACACACTTATTTTTTTTTTACTTTTTTTCTATACCAGTTCATTGCTTCCTTTATTTTTTTTATTTCCAAAATACACGATTTACCAAACAAAACCGAGCAGAGCTCGGTCCTCCAGGTACTTAATATATATTTGCTTATTTATATATGTTTGCTTAATAGTTTCAAACGAAATTTGTCATCACGAAAGCTATCATACCCATAGATACATAAAATACTCCGTACCACGTCTATTTGATTTCAAAAGAACCTTGCGGGTGAAGCCGCGTTTAAAGATTACCAATAACCACCCGACGTCAACACGAAGCGACCACACTATAGCAACTGCCAAACTGCCATGAGATATTCGTGTTCTCGTTCGCAGGCGAGGTCTTCCTTAACGCGTTCTCCAAGGCCGTGGTGCTGGACGTCTATTCGGACTTCATCAACAACTTCTCGGTGGCCATGGAGCTGGCGAAGATGGAGTCGAAGAGGAAATCCGCGCTCGCGGACTTCTTCAAGGTGAAGCAGATCAGCGCCCACGACCGGCTCTCCTTCTTTGGCCTGATGGTCAAACCGGTGCAAAGGTTTCCACAGTTCATCATGTTCCTACAGGTACTAGTCCTCTTAATGTTTTCTCGTTTTAACGTAAAATTAAACTAATTGTCCAATTAAAATATTTTATGGATTTTATGGCATGTAATTAGAACATTTTTATGAAATAGACTTGTACGTGACTGCTGCAAGATATTCCAACGGTAATTGAAGTATTAAATGCAACATTCAGTATTATAGAGCTGAGTGTAAAATCTTCGAAGTTCAAACATGGAACTCAATTTAAAAAAAAAAAACAAAACAAATCGGCACCCGCGTCGTTGTTTTTAAAAAAAAACAGAAGTGAAACCATTAAAAAAAGAAAAAAATACAAATTCAAACGTCGTTCGATTTTCAAAACTGATTCACCGCGCCGCAGGACCTCTTGAAGCACACGCCGCCGGGGCACGCGGACCGTGTGGCGTTGCAGCGGGCGCTCACGCGGCTGGAAGCGCTAGCTGAGGCGCTGAACGAGAGGAAACGGGACGCCGAAAGGACACAGGTAAGCAGAGGCGACGCGGCCGCATCTTTCGGTTATCAGTCGACGACGGGTAAAAAAGAAATACGGCGCGGCAGACGGCGGACGGAATTATAAATTAAAACTGCGAGGCACCCTTTTTTTTCTCTCGTCAATACCCTTCCTTTGCTCTCTCGCCACAGATTACGCCAGCGGCAAAAACTTGTAATGTACGGAACATCGCATCGCAACGCATTTAGGTGCGAAAGTGTGACGCCATTTTGAAACTTGCAATGAATGTCTTTGGGGTGTTAAAAAAAGACAAAATCACAATTTTTGAAATTAAATTATCGTATTATATTTCGCTAATGATTTCTCACGAAATTTTTATTAATTTTATCACATTTTGTGGATTGATGTGTGTTGTTTTTGCGAAGTTTATGGCTATTAATTATTTAGTAGCCTAAAACTTTTTGTTAGTGTTCATTCGTTGTTTTGAATTATTTATTTGTTGAAAATGATGATTATTGTTACTAAACAAATAAAAGCAAATAAAATAACAGTCTATAATGTCTGGTACATTCAATTTTCATTAATTATGAATATCCACTTGATTTGCATTGTTAATTATCAAATGTGAGATATAAGCATCATTTGTACACGTTAGATTAGGAGAATCTAATTTAAAAGACGCTTTAGAAAAACTGCTTTAGCATTTTATCGCTCTCAATTTTATTTTTTCAACTCCCGGATTTTAAGAATGTTTTGCAACGTACACAGTCACTGAGTCTAAGAAATAAGATTTAACTACTACCAGATAAAACCACTGTCAATGACCGACTATACGAATTCATGAATGCTACTAACCTGTTTACAAAATTAACTTCGTATAACTATGAAACAAAGTAACAAAAATTATTAGGTATATTGTATAGTCTAGAAGAATTCAATTTCTTTTTCTGTCCGATCGAGGACCATATGCTTGGGTACAGAAGAGACATGAAAAAGCTCTCTGCTAGCGTTCAAATAAGTACGGCCTGTACTTGGCGCATAAATGTTAATCTGTTGTTAAGATGAAACTTCACATTAAAATATGTAGAAAAAGTGCGAATCGAACCCACATCTTCGGCATTCGCGGCCTGACGCTCTAGCCACTGAGCTAAACGGCTGATTGCCACACCGACGAAAACCTTAACGCATTCTTCTACATTGTTTTCTTAGCATTTGAAGCAATGCTTGGCGCCATCTATTGTTATATCCTTTCGAGCATACAAACAATTTCGAATATCGTTTTACAACGATACCGAAACTAGTCGGTACATACACCGGGCTTACGTGAGTTCAGCCGTCTTATTGTTACGGTAATAATGTCTCACGAAAGTTTTAATAATTTATTAAGTGTATATTCGGTGTAATAATATTAATATCGCTTATGTCACTCTCTGCCGGCAGGCGTTCCGCGCGGCGCTACGTCGCTTGACGCGGGGAGGGGTGGCGGGCGCGGGCGGGGCGGGAGGAACGGCCCGGTTCGGCGCCGCTCGCCTCCTCGCCTCTCGGGCCGACCGACGCCATCTACTGCGTCAGGACGACCTTTTGCAGCTGGTGAGTGGCTTCTAGCCGTAGGAACAGTGCAACACGTACACGTGATTAGGTTACACGGTGGTTGCAGCCGAAGCGAGTGCCTTCGTTGAAACGCAAAAACAGCTATGTTACATTACGCTAGTCTTCTGTCGCTAACTCCGCTTCCGCTGCCAGCCCAGTCATTTTACATCAGGAGCTGGTTCCAATATTGAAAAGCATATTGCAACTCCAAGTAATAGCGCATTCACCGCGTCAACCGGGGAGTGTTGTCCTCTCTTTTGCTTCGAATCTTTCGCTGTCTCACTCCCACCATTTGATGGTGTACAGTTGTGGTCAACGTTGTGGTCAACGTTGTGGTAGCATTAGGCAATTTCTTCATCATCAACATTTCAATTCCTTGTTTGAGTCCACTGCTGAACATAGGCCTCCCCCACAGATTGCCACGAGGCACGATCTGAGCCATCTGTACCACCGCAAATTTGCACAAGTTGTCACTCCATCTAGTCATTAGGCAATTATATAGAAACGAGTGACCCACCCCGGCTTCGCACGAGTGCAAAGTTTTATAGATATAAAACTTCCTCTTGAATAACTCTTTCTAGTAAAAAATCCGTTGCGATCAAGATCCGTTGCGATCAAGATCCGTTGCGTAGTTTTAAAGATCTAAGTGTACATAGGGACAGACAGCGAACTATTTTGTTTTATACTATGTAGTGATGATTCGTATTGAAAGTGTCTAAATATATCTAATAATATCATATAAATAAATTAATATATATATTAAATATTTTAATATGTAATTAATATATCTAATAATCATATCTAATAAAGATATTTGCTTCTGTCATATCAATATGCCAATTGTTTACCAGGAGTTCAACCAGTCGGGCGCGCTGACGAAGTGCAAGCCGCGGCGGCTGCTGCTCCTGAACGATTTGGTGGTGTGCGTGTCCGTCGGCGCGGGCGGCGACGACGCGGAGCGGCTCGGCCTCAAGTGGGCGCACCCCGTGCACGACGTCGACGTGCTCGACACCGGCACGTCGCCGACCCTCAGCCGGGTGCTCGCGCAGGGTAAATGAAACCTTATTCGTATAGTTGTTAGGTCTCTTTCACTTTGGCACATTCGTTCCGCTACGCTGATTACAAGACACGCAATGCAAATCAGACTTTATTCTTATAAGCAGGGAGTCGTATTCAATCTGTACTTTTTGATTCCAATCTCGACTACTGGTGTACGGAATCAATTACTTATTTTGGATTCAATTTTGCTTTGTATCATTAAGGTGATATATATATAATTCCCACTTATGCAACCTATATTTGAGACGCTATCTCTACTACACTGTTTTGGCAAGGATTCGGTATTGTTCGTTCGACACAGTAATTTTTTTTAATGTAATAATTACCATGTCGTCTACTTTACATTTTTAGTCCACAGCAGTGACGCTGTATGTTTCGTCTTCCGATGCAAACTATATAAGCAATGTGTCTAATTGTCAACTTAATACGTATCACTTTATTTCCTTACATTTACTGCTTGGACCATTTTTCACAAGCGTCTACGATCCCAGGCATGAACCGCAGCGGCAGCCTGCGCTCCAACTCGAGCACCAACTCGCACAGCAACACGTCCACCGGCGACTCCCTCTGCAACGAGATGTCCGCCTTGATGCACGACTATGAAGCCGTCTCCCGTATGGCCGACCTGGCGGCCTCGCTGAAGACCCCCTACCCGGAACTGGCGCCGGAGATGTTCAGAGCTCTGCTGCAAAACATACAGAGGAGTATACAGGTATTGACCGCTTGTGCTGCCAAAAACCTTTATCCAGGCTACAGTTATGCGATAGAGTATGACTGTCAAACTCGCAGGAATACTGGAAGTGTACTATCGTATATCAGCCGAAGTATAGAGTATGGTTGTCATAACTTATCCAAGAATACCGTTTTATATCAGCAGAAGAGGTAGGTAGAGATTACGGTGCTCTTCCAATGTCCTTGCAATTCTTTTTTCTCTTTTATCTACGCATACGCGTCGGACCTGCAGTACGTTTATGCTCTGTTTAATTAAACGTTTAAAGTGTCCTCTACTGTTTTATATTCAATACTTCAAACGAGTTTTACTTATAGGAATGAATCGTGTAAACTTTTGACATTTGTTTAAAATTATTCATCAATTAGATACCACAGTTTCTAAGCTATTGGCTTCAACGCCGGCCGAAGTGGGTTCGATTCCCACACGGAACAAGGATTTCTTAGCCGCTCAGATAACTGTTTCGCATATTGGTGTTTATTCCCCCGCTATCCATAAGCGAGTAGTAATATTCATTTTGAGAATCAAATGCCCCAGACCTGATTACGAATGTTCCCATTCCAGAAAAAGGACGACGAGATGGCGTGGGTGGACTCGTGCTGCCTGCAGCTGACGATACGCGGCCGAGAGGAGCCGCTCACCTTCCGCGCCCAGGAGCCGGGCGCCAGGCTCGCCTGGGCCACGGAGCTGAGGCTGGCTCAGCTCGCTCAGGTGACTTGCCTATTTATTTTATGAGATAAGTTCGGCATGTGAATAGGCGGTTCACATACTGGGGAAGGAAAGAAAGAAAGAGATTTTTGAAATGGCGGGCATTTGCCAATTTTTATGTTTGATGGGATTTTGAATAGGCCCCGGTTACCTCACTTACCAAACGCAACGCGAAACACTTCCTCTTCGCCTTTCTTCACAATGACCGTGCAAGCCAACGCGATTGGTGGCAAAAAGTAGACCTGTGCAATGCGTGTATCCTCTTCTATGCGGCTTAATACTCGAATTGCTTTTTCTTTTTGTGCGAAACGTTGCCAAACGAGCAGGCGGTTCACATGTTGTTAAGTCAATACCGACGCCCATGAACAACTACAAAACCTGAGGCCTTTTTAGATTATTATACTCAACAAGACTCACTCTTATTCTCTCTCTCTTCTTGCTCAGAAAGTATAGTACTTAGACTTTACACTGGTCTTCTGTGAGGACGAGCCTGCCCATCCATGCAACGGCACAACACCTTGTGCTGTTGATGGATGGGGCCCTACAACAGATAAATGTTTGGTCACTATAACATCACGTTGTATTCGCTCCGCAGGCCGCCGCTAACTCTCCCGCATGGCGTCTGCCTCACCACGTGGCGGCCCACAGCGTGCCGCTGTACGTCGCCGCCTCGCCAGTCTACTCATCGAAGCAACTCACCGAGGTCAGTGGACGATTACCATTTAAATGGAACTGGTTGGGTAGTAGTGTCTGCCGCTCAATATGGGGCTCTCACGAGTGGTGTTTTACTAGGTTTTTGGCTTGTTACCGCCACAGCATTATTTGGCTATATTTGGTAGAAGGCTCAATTAAAAAGGCCACATAGGGGTCGCGGAAATTTGTGTCACCGGCCGATATAACAGCGACAGGTACAATGTCAGTTTAGTGGGTACCCGTTTCTGATTGGGACTCCGAAATACCCCTATCACTCCCCAGATCGGGTGGCATTGGGATCCATAAAGGATGTTAACCGCATACAAAAAAAAGGTTGGGTACTACCCACCCGGCGTGACCTAGATGATCTATTATAGTCTAAGGTCAGTGGAGAAGCACGCTCCTACACGACCCAAACAGTTGTTACACAATTCGTTATAAATTATGACTAGTTGACTTGTTAAAAATTTTCACATAGTATCGTGATCAGTCATGGAATGGTAATGTAATGTGATAATAAGTATTAATAATGAAATGTATCTTATTCTTAAGAATAACTTGGTTAAGTCTACTTCGCTATCTTTCGTTTGAACAAATTGTTAATAGATGGAAATATTTTTTTATGTGAGAAGGTGTTAAGTGGTAACCGCCGTTTGGCATTCGCAACACCTGTAGAGAGTTGCAGATGCGTTACCTTTTAATAAAGTGTTCAAAGCCCCGGTTACCTCATTCACTCACTAGACGGACCGCAGTGACGGTCGGTGACCACGGTCGTGGTTCTCACCCGGACGGACATGCCCATTCGTGCAACAGCGTGGCCCCACCACAGTAGGTCCAGTTAGCAAAACCGGCTCCCAAGATACAGGCACTGCCTAGTTTGGGAGCCACAGTGTACTCATTGTCTTTTCCTTTGTGTAACTAACATTAATTAGATATAAATGATCTGTGGTGTCGGCGTAAGAATAAGCCACCCCATCTCATCCCGTGGGTGTCGTAAGAGGCGACTAAGGGATAAGCCACAAACATCCAGTGGCCTCCGATAGATGGCAGGATAACCATCTTACTTCTCCAGACCCAAATATCCAAGCCAATAACGGGCAGCAGCGTTGAAGGTGCGAGGTGTCTGGAAGAACTGCGGTTGCCAACCCGCTTGCCAAGCGTGGCAACTATGGCAAAAACCCCTCATATATGGAGGAAGTCCAAGGTGTACGGCCCCCAGTACCCGGCGGCCCTGCTATTCCTGGCTACGGTAGCGGTCATGGTAACGGCAGGGCAGGGGGTGCTAAGAATCCCCGGCTAGGATTCGGCTACCAACGACGGCGACTGGACCTCACAACATACAACGCAAGAACATTGAGGACTGACGAGAAGATTACAGATATAGAGCTGTACTGATATTATTATAGAAATAAATAAATAAAAAAAATAAAAAAATGTGCGTGTGGCGGCAGGTGCGTTGCGGCTGCTTCTACTCGAGCGCCGGGGCGGGGCTGGCGCGCGGCGGCGGGCTGTCGCGGCGCGCGCGCTCCCTGCTGTGGGTGTGCGCGGGCGGAGCGGAGCACAGCCACGTGGCCGTGCTCACGCACCGCGCCGCCAAGCTCAAGACGCTCGTCACGCTCGACCTGCCCGACACCAAGGTGCGGAACCCCATCTCGGTATCCCCTCCCACGCCCCTCCTCTACCTTTCTCTCTCTTTCTCTCGTTCTGTACACTTAGGCTCGGAACAGCAATTCATGAAGCACACGAATGCCGTTGCATATTTCCGAATTTCACGCCTAAATCGTGAGAGACCCGGTACATAAACATAATGATTTTCCCTTTAGACAGTCAAAACTTACTATAATTTATTGATTTTCCCTTTTGTCAATCAAAACTTACTGTAATTTCTTAAATAAAATTCTTTAGCATTTAAAATAAATATGATGCAGTAAATTCGCCAGTAGGGGTTTATCCCAGACTAGCCCGCTTATAATTTATATTATCCGTACAAAAAAGTATTAACTCCATTACGTGTATGTCGTTACTCAATATAAATTAACATTCTGTTTCAAAATTCTTTTGTCTTCCTTAGGTGACCTCCATGGAGTACTCAAAAGGGATAAGACAAGTGACCACACTGTGCGGTGACACAGTATGGCTCGGCACTGAGGACAAGAAGATAATCATATTCTCCGGCGTGGAGCCGGAGAAGCAAGAGAAGCTGACAGAAGTGCAGACCGTCGCCGCTGTCACGCAGATACGCTATCACTGCGACTCCATGTTCGTAGGTCTCGCCAACGGCAGGGTTTCGGTCTACAGGCGGAACAACGACGACTCGTGGGCCCTGCAAGAGCCCCTCGCGATAGAACTAGGCGACAAGCCCGTCCACTGCATCCTGCCAGTCGACGGCATAGTGTACGCCACGTGCGCCAGGCGCGTGTTCGCCATAAACGCCCTCACCGCCGAGATTATGCGCATACTGGAGCTCAAGGGCGAGGGGGATCGCTCTGTGAAGTACTTGGCACACTCCGGCGTCGGCCTGTGGACGGCTTTCTCCGATTCGACGTACGTCAGCCTTTACCACGCGGAGACCTTCGAGCATTTGCAGAACATCGACATCGCCGCCGACGTCGCGAAGACCATCGGCGCGAGGGAAGGCAGCAAGCCCGCCTACGTTTCCGCCCTGCTAGCGAGCCAAGGGCTGCTGTGGGTCGGCACTACGGCGGGCGTGAGCGTCACTGTGCCCTTACCGAAGCTCGAGGGGCTCCCCCTCATCGGCGGGCACATAGCCGTGTCGTACCACGCGCACGCCGGCCCCGTCACGTTTCTGCTCTCGTTACTTCCGGAGAACAGGGAAGTGGACGTCAACGTGGTCCGACGCAACCTTTCAAACGCACGCGCCCTCGCAGACACCTCAGTGCTGCACGAGTTCAAAGAGGAGGAGAGCAAGGAAGACCTCGACAAGCCGAAGCTCGAACGGAGGATATCCGAGGAGTCGAGCCCGTACCGGCCGCAGCGCGTGCAGTCTGCGGTCGTGCGCCGCAAGAAACCGGGAGACGTGCGCCTGAGCAAGACGCTGCCGAAGTGCGCGAACCTGAACGCGTGCGACGTTTACGGGCTGTTCGGCGACCTGATGTTCGTGAAGGACTGCGTGGGGGAGGCGGACGTGAACGGCGCCGGGGGCGAAGCGCTGCGCAGGAGCGACCCGGAGCTGGCGGCGATCCCGTTCCGCGTGAGCACGCTCGACCGGCGGCTGCGCATGCGCGCCGGCCGCCCGCGCAGCCTCGACCTGTCCAGCTGGTCCGTGGACTCGAGGGCGTCCAGCCTGTGCACGTCCTCCGGCAGCGAGGAGTCGATGGCGCTGCGCGGCGTCTCGCGCACCAGCTCGGGCGCGTCGGGCGCCGCGAATCTCGCGCCGCTCGCCGCCTCCACGCCGGACTCGTCGTCGGGCAAGTCGTCCGCGTCCGAGCGCTCGATATCCCGCAGCGACTCGGCGACGGCGGTGGGGGCTGGAGGAGGGGGAGGGGGCGGGGGCGGCAAGGGCGCGGCGCGGAGCCTGCGCGGCGCCGACTACGTGGTGGGCGAGGGCGCGGCGCGGCGCTCCGTGCTCACGGTGATGGGCGGCCGCGGCTACGTGGACTGGCGGCAGACGGCCGACGCCTCGGAGCGGCCCGCGCCCGCCGCCGACCCCAACCCCAGGGACGCCCACCTCGTCCTGTGGGAGATGCGCCTGTGACCCGCGCGGCGACACCCACCCGACCCCGGTCGGTGTCATACTGTATATAGGACGAGGAGCCATGTAGTTATGTGTAAATTCCATTTATTGATAGTTTAGAGCGCCTTCTGTTTCGTCTCATCTTATTGTGCTAACAAATATTAACATATTTCGATATTATGGCGCAGGCATCACGATTCGGTTGTTCAAAAAATTTATGGAGTATTTATATCAGTTGTGGAAATTTACACAGAGTGTAAGTTATGTGATAAGCTTTAAATTATTTTTGATGTTGGGCTCGATACCCCCGATGGCCTTTTGCAAAAAGTATTTATACATATATTTACATATACAGGTGCATTGTTTTTGTGGTTAATTATATTGAAATGTTATAAAATGAAACAGGTACTATTGTAGCATTTTTAAAGCAAATTGTTTGCATGTTTGTTCTCTTTTGTATTTGGGAATTTTCTGTTGAAATTCTAACACTTGCATGTTTCTTTCTTGTTAAATTTATCAACTTTAAATCTGATAATTTTAATATCGCGCATTGTTATAATACACATTTCTTTAATATTAATGAACCGCCATATTAAATTAGAACAATACTTTTTGTATAGTGTCTGTTAAAATCCGTAATCATATTGATTTTGTATATTTTAATTGCGACTGGTTAATAGTTTGATTTAACCTAATTTGTAGGGAACTTAGTGGCCTTAACTTCTATATTGAAATTCCCAGTGTGTGATTTACGGAACTCGTTTAAGCTTTACTGTTATTTTAGACATATTGTCGCTTTAAGAATTAGACTGATTTAGCGTAAGCGTTAACATGTATTATTATTTGAAATGTAATAATTAGGGCGAATTTGCGACATCACGATCGAACAAATATTCGATAATTTTTAAACAAAATAAAAAAACGAAACCGTAAATATTAACACAGAATTTCATTCAAAGCGCATTTTTCTTTTTTTTTTTGTAAATATTTTAAGGGTCTTGTTAAGGTTATTAACGTTATTTTTTACATAATTCCCTTCGCTCTTTCAGGTTGTTCAGTCACAAGTTTATTTTGGTGTTTTGTCACAAAGTTGACTAGTGCTGCTACATGTTTACATTTAATATAAAATTACCAGCAAATGTTATATTGTTCATTGTTAATATCAATGTCCACGGTCAGTATGTAATGAGAACATTTTGTTAATTCCAAAGAAATAATGATCCAATGTTGACATATCACCTGTTATGAGAACTGTATAATTTTCTCATTAGAAGTATGAAAATCATTCGGACTCGTGACTCAACCAGTCACCGTGCCAAATTTGGATGTATTTAAATAAAGTTCAGAGTCTTACTTGGTGTTTTGAATCTATTATATTGTGTTGTAAGGTTTGGTTTCTGTACAAAATTATTTTCAAAGATGTATCTCGAATGGATAGCCATTTCCGTTATTCTCTCATTCTAATCTCATACTATGGTTATTTTTTTATTTGATTGTAATACCGAAATAAAATGTCACAATATGTATGTACTATGTATTATGGTGTAAATAAATTAAGGTTATAAATACACCTGTATATTTTGTTTCATTGTGCCTTATTTACATAATAATTTTATATGCAAAAATAAGTTAACATTAAGCCGGTAGCCAGGGCCTAATTACAAAGCAGATCATGTTACCATTGCCAATGTTTTCGGTTAAATAATATATAAAATTTTAACAAAAATGCTGTTTATTTCCATTTGTAATCATTTTATAGTGTAACAATATTAATAATAACTTGGAAATTTGTAAGTCTTTATTCTCAATGCTTTGTTATGACAGACCTGTAACAAAAAAAAAAAATTTATGATCATCCAATCATGTTTCATACAGTGAGTGATATTGCTTCATTCGAACGATAATCATAGCTCTTATACTATTGAACATACGGTTTCGCCTTTTGCATTCTTGAAGCACTTCGTTGAAACCTGCGCATTCCTGCAGATCCTCCCGAGTGGCGGCGCACTGCAGGAACTGGGAGATCTCGTAAGCGCACGGTCCGCTTGGTTCCGTACCTGGTTGATAACTCTGTGGCAACGCACTAACGACTTCATGTCGCCGTGGCCCAGTAAATAAACTTGTTATAGCTTCCCCCGCCACGTGACCCTGCATCGGGAGGGTTATAGATTATTTAGCTCGCTTATTTGTTTTTATATCCTAGGTGTTATACATTCGTAAACTTAAATGTACCACTGCAGTGCCGACAGTTACACCTCCCGCAACGGCAGCTGCATCACGAAATATTGAACGCCGAGGAACGGGGGTTACTACAACAGTGGGCGGTTGAGCTGGGGCATGTTGTTGCGCGCGTGAATAGCGGTTGCTTCTGCAATGTTTCGTTCGTAAATATTATTGAAGAGTATCGAAATTTCAAAGTCAAAATTAATATTTGCGACATACCCAACGTAAAATAAGAGGCTATAGAAATTAATGAATGTAATTGATCGATTTTAACCCTCACATTCAATGTAGTAATACAAAAAATTCGAAAAAACCATCTATATCGAAATAATATTGATCACTACAAATGTTCATTTGATTTGATGAGTAATGAGTATTAAAAAACTGAATACATGTTCATGTATTCAGTTTTTTAATACTCATTACTCTCAATGAAGCTGGCAGATTACCTTTGATTTTGATATGTTACAAATAGATTAAGAGATTAAATCTCATAAAAGAATAATAATACTATATATATATATATATATATATATATATATATATATATATATATATATATATATATAATATATATATAATAATAATACTAAAACAGAACAACATACTAATATATTCCAAATTCTGTTGAGTTCAAGCCCAAAAATAAATAGAAATAAAACACATGATTAGTTGGTTTACTGATTGCATTTATTTAACATTCTACAATTTCGGTTACATAACTGAATAACTGAAATTTAATATCTAAATCACAAAGTCAAATTAAATATAAATATTTAACATAATTAATTGATACTAAGCTAAAACAAGTTCCATATTTATATATTTCAATGTCCCATTGCCACTAGTTAAGTTATAAGAATATGAATGGCGCCTAACATTTCAAAGAAAATTTTTAGTCCATGCTAGTATTGTCCTACTTGTTAAATATTTACTGTTGAAGCGCCATTTTTGAACTAATCATCTTTTATAAACGGTTGTTGACCTTGCATTGGCGCAAAGCCTCATTGAAGCCCTCACACAAAGACAGGTCATGCTGTTGTTGGGCGCACTCAATAAACTGTTTAATCTCCCATGCGCACGGTCCTTGAGGTTGCTGACCTCCAGGTTGTTGGTAAGAATTGGACTGAGCAGGTGGAGCCTGCTGCTGTGGTGCTGGCTCACTGCTGCTACCACCACCAAACATGCCAGTAAGAGCACTGCCTGCCATGTGACCCTACAACATAATATAACTCTATAATTATATGATCAAAGGAGGTAAAATCTAAACATATGTGTATTATATTAATGTTAATTCAATTTTAATTTTATATTTAATCAATCCACAACATATAGTACATCTATTGATGATACTATGAGTAAGTGGGGCATATCATGGAAGGCATACTTAAAAACTGTCTAAAAGCTTGTTATTTGAAAATTTCTTGTTTAGAATGTGATAAAAATGAAGAGAATTATATTCAAACAATTATGTTTTCACACTAAAAGCCTATTAAATTTAAAATTATGTAGGACCAAATAAAAGTAAAGAGATATTTACAGAGTTCCGCTATACAGATGAGCTATTCAGCCAACAGTCTACTGACATTGTCAAGTCATTATCATTATCCTATTTTTATTTCAATAAAACTTTATTTCAGTAACTATTTACACATTTTTATTTTACAGGTTACATTTTATATTTTAAAGAAATGCTCATTACCTTGTGCTCTAGTAGCCATTTCTTAACATGCAATCTCAGATAAAAAATCAACCAACAAGTTTATAACTCACATGAAGAAAAACAAATTTAAGAATAAAATATATTTGTTTTATTTAACTTCGAATCAATAAACAGTTAATTTTGTATCCTTAAATGAATAAATTACATGTTTTAACAGTTTTATTGCTGTTTCAATACAATACAATTTATAATATATAATACTTGATTCAAGAAGTAATCAAGTAAGTTTGTTCGTTCTTTGGTTAATATCAATAATAATAAAAACATTTTTGACAAAAAAAAAATATTGCGTAAAATATAATATTCTAGTACGTCACAATAACATGTGACTATAAACTTGGCGTAAAGCCAATGAAGATAAAGGCGATTTATTTGATACATCGAAATATGGAAATTTCTCTATTTGTTGCGTAATAAAGACAAAAGCAAAAAATATTGGTAGAATTGATGTTTACGTTACGTAATTTGAATACGTACCACTGCAGATCCTACGGCCACTCCACCAGCAGTAGCAGCCATCTGGCCAAATAATGATGGTTGTTGGGGTTGAGCTTGAGCAGGGCCTACACTTGTAGGGGGTGCATGAGCTGGTACATTACTTGGTGGTGCCGCAGCTCTGAAAATAAACATGTTAAGAGGTTAGAAAATATATTTATATTTTCAGATTTTGCACCATTCTGAAACTTACCTGCGTGGAGCAGGCGGTGGGCTTGCTGAGCGACCTCGTCTTGGCATTTTGATATTAAACTTGTAAATGCAATTAAAAACTCTTCTAAAGACAAAGTTCACGAGCAGAACTGAGATTGGAAATGTCACAAAACACAATGTCACTGTTATCGAATGTATGACTGTCGTAAGTCGTTCTAAATTTTTCTAGAAATTTTAAATATGGAATAGAAATCTATTTCTATCTTCGTCTCTCATGCTTTATCGTTTAAATACAGACAAAGACAAAACATATTAGTCATGATACAGATAAAATAATAAAAACCTTGGTAAAGATTAATAAAAAAATGGCAATAATAACGTACAATAACGAGTAACATACAATGTACAATCAAATTCAGCGGAATAGAACACTTAACTTCAAAAGATTTAGATAATAAATTTCTCAATATAACATTCAAACTGATGATAATTTTAATTGTCATATAAAGTGTGAATACAAATAGTACACAATTAAAAGTACAATACTTTTAAAGTGTTAACTACGAACCAATGCGAAAACATACCTGCCTTTGCTTTGGTTTCTCGGCATTTTTATTAATTATACATGTTACATTTTACATAGATTTTATCTTGAATATATATTCCAAATATTTATTTGTCAAAAGCAGTGTAGCGACTATATACGAGTAACTTTTTATTTTTGTAGTAACCAGCCAGTACAAATTTAAATTACATACTTCAATAAATAAGCCAAAAACTTATCTTATGATAAGTAAAGTAATAGCCTATACACGTCCCACTGCTGGGAAAAAGCCTCTTTTACACAGAGGGTATCAGGGCATAGTCCACCACGCGACTCCACTGCGGATTGGCGGACTTCAAATATCTTCGAAAAAATATTTTTTTGTTATTATTTCGAAAATATGCAGGTTTCTACACGATGTTTTCCTTCACCGCGGAGCACGTGAGCACTTAGAGTTAAAAACTTAATTGATGTCGGCACCGGGTCGAACTCAGGTATCTAGAGTATGTTGAATTAAAGGTCAACGCCCGGTCACTGGGCTATCATGGCTCTTAATTAATTAAAAATCACAAAAAGGCCTTTAATAATATAAAAATAAAATTTGTTATGAGAATTAATGTACAATTAAATTTGTATATTAAGTACGGTTTAACTTCATCATTTTTTATTATTAAAGAAATAAAAAAGCATTAATGAAAATATTTTTTTTTCTTCGAACTTTACATTTTACTTTATTTGTAAAAGTTAAAAAAATATTTATTCGTATATATATTATATATTTCAAATATAAACGTATTGGAAATTAAATTAAAAAAAATATTTTAATATGATAGAGACTTAATTAAAAAGAAAAAAGCATATTATGTCTATTGCTATTAAAACATGTCTGCGTATAACTGATTGCGGTTTACAGAGCGCGGCAATTGATGTATAGATAGAGATAGACAGTACGCACGTTTTCATTCACTGGTTCAACGGTTCACTCTACAGCTCAGTTAAGTTCATGTTCAATTTTCGTTTAGTACCTACATTGGAAGCCGCGTGACTATTGTGGTTTAAAGTAATTTAACTGTCGCCGTTTCTGAGTTTTAAGTGAAAATGGAGGATTTAAAAGCCGGTCAAAATCTTAATGTTTTCCTCCTTGGCGGAGTTACAATTTTATTATGTTTTATATTACACTTTGTTTATAAAACTATCTTCAGCAACAACAACAGAGAAGCATCGCTTACTACAGAGAGCGATTCAGGTGGGTTACTTATATTTTGAATTAATATATAAAAGAAAATTACTGTTCGAATTGCCCTAGTACATTTTGCATGAATATGTAATCTTATAATAGTTTTCTATATATAAATCTTTCGAAACGGTCTCTCGTGTGGCATTACCTCGCTTGCAATCACATTTTTAGAACCTCGTGCGTAGCTCTTTAAGCTGAAAAAGTTTTGTGTTTAGACGATTATTATGTATTATTTCGATTACAGAATGATAAATGTTAAAGTGTTAAATTTGAGCAATGTGATTAAATCAATGAAGGGAATGCATGTATTATCTATAGATGTATTCATTTATAATTCTTGATGAAGCGATCTTTATTTACTTACAATACAATTACATTTCCTGGAGGCAAGGTTGGTCTAAATAGAAATGGACATTCAAGCAAAGAACATTAATGTTTTGTTGTTATAATATGTTTGGCTTGTATATGTGGATGTTATATGGATCTGTAGGATGTATATATATCACAATATTTCTTTAATATTTATCAATTTAAATATGTATTACTTATGTGTTAATGTTGCCAATGCTATGATTGTATACCTAATTAATGAAACAGTAGTGGTCCCAATTTCTTATTAATCTTGCATTCATGGTTAAATGAAACTGGAATTATTTTAGAACAGAGACCTCAGTTTTGTATGCACAAAGAAGGTTTCTGTAGCTTTTTTATTTTAGATATATATTTTTATTATTATAACATTTCATTGCTGTAATTCTGATTTTGTTAATACAAAAACTTTATTTATTACTTAAATCCTGTAACTCTTATAATTAATGATAGTAAACATATTTTAATTTTGTTCAAATTTTTAATATTCAATCAAGTATGATTATTTTCATGTAAAATGGCAATTTAACAACAAGTTAAATTTGAACCTGTTCTTAAAAAAATACATATAAACACATACAATAATGAAAGATATACAAGTTTTATTTTCTAAACTCATAGATGACATTGCTCTTGACCATGCACTCACTACATATTATAAGAGTTCAATATATTTATTTAAGTTGGTGTTAATCTATGTTTGATTAACTGCAATATATATTCCTTTTCATATAACACAGTTTTAAAAGACTTTGTTTCTGTTTAAGTGCATAGGGTTTACATTTTTTTACATTAAACATATTTTTGACTTGTTAATTTTTTAATCTTTTTATTACATTGTTAATATATCGGACTATGTAATGAGTAAAGTTATAAAGTACTTCTAATTTTACTATTTGCTGTATGCTGTTGTTAAAATTATGTTAGTTATTAATATACTTGCAAATGTACCAGAAAAATCATCGTTTGAATATATTTTAATTTCATCTGACTTCTTGTTTCATTAACAACACCACATGGTAGGTGGCCAGTTCGACAATGTCATAGGGACATATAATTGAGTCAAGGTGTCACTACAAGGAATATAGTTGGTTAGAACCGAGCATAATTACCTGGGGTAGACCACAGACTGACTAAATACTAGACAAGTTGTATTAGATCAACATGCTAGTCCAGTGGTTGTGGGTATTAGGAATTGTGTTTAAGTGTCCTCTGCCTATCATACAAAGCAACTGAGGGTTCATGGATGATAATAGTGGGGGAACTGATTACGAAGTAAGGTGTACCCCTGATACCAGAATTGAAATCTTGATTGTTACTAACACTATGCTCTTAAGTCATAAATCCTAACAGATTCGCAATTTTTCTTATAGGAAATAATTTGAACGGCTAAGATATTTACGCCATTGAGATGTGAGCCCATTATTTCATATTCCGAATTGAACGGAATGTAAAATCAGACGAGAAACAATTTTATCGTACAGCTACAAATTTTAACTTTTTAAATTGTATCAATAACTAAACAAGTTGCACTAAATAACCAAAGGAAATTATTTTCCGACAAAAATTAACCTTTCGAAAACATCACGGGGAGAAGCGGGGTATAAAGGGCAGTAGTATCTAAATAAATTCGTTTATAATTTACAGGGGCTCAAGTAGAGAAAGCTGTCTCTGAAGCGGTTGCCGTCGAGAGCCGTCCTGCTGGCAAGAGCAAAAAGCGCGCACCATGGAAAGGAAAGACGGAGTTCAGCCACCCGTGGCTCCTCAAGAATCTCAAGGGTCACCCCGGCACCGTTCTGCACATGGATTTCTCTTCGAACGGCAAATTCATGGCCGCCGCCTGCGATGGTAAGTTCCCTCAGTGTTTCCCAAGGTGGTGGACGATTAACAATGCGCGAATTGCGTTTATATGCGTTATACATTTCAAATGGTGAAACAAGTACGGTTAATTCTCTCTTTTATTGAATCACTCGGAGACCAAAATTAATAAACTAACTGACTATAAATTCATTCGTTAAAGGTAACAGTAATCGTAAATTAACTAATTTAACGCCAGTTAAATAGCCAATAGTAGGCGTCTAAATGTATTATTAAATAAATGTAAAATAAATGTATTTATTATTAAAAATAAATGTATTATTTGGGAATTTAGAGAGGTGCCGTGTATAGAATATGGTGAAACAAATAACGGTGTTTTTATTAACGGAACAGCTATATCCTATAATCTCATACGGGCCATTGTTATTCTTTTACAAATAATACCGCTACTGTGAAACAGTTACGAACAGTTGCTGTAACTTCGGATTGAAGTTAAACATGGTATCGGGAGGTTAGCGTTTCGGTTGAACTAGCGAGCTCATGACAAAAACTCAAGTAGCTCATTACATAATAGAGAAGGTTCGCAGTGGAAGTGGCGAATTTTACACTCGATTAGCTCCGTGGCGAATTATTAAGAAACTTGTATTTATGGAAATTATCATGAACTCCACCGGTAAAAAACCATTTGAAATTTTTAACGCCTAATCTAACTAATAAGCACTAATTATCTATTCTATATCGCGATATTGAAAAATGACGTACAACAGTATTTCTAATCGTAACAAAATCCTAAAATGTTTAATTTTTGATGTAATTAGTGCTTCTTCAGCTTCCTTCGTAGCTTAAATGTAGAAATAGTAAATAGTTGATCTATCGTAAAACTGATACATTGGTGCACATTTATTTGTTAATGTAGTTTTTTAAAGTTGTTTCAATGTGTTTTGTTAAAGTTCTAAGTCGAAATTGATTAAGGTTTAGACTAAATTTTTATATATATAAACGCTATTACGTTTATCGGCGATTGGCAACGAAACTTTGTCATGTGACATAATATATTGATTCATGCGGAAAATTTGTAAAATGCACTGTGTTTCGCTTCGAAGGTGCAATATTCTACAATTTTATGGCAACTGTACGACTCAGGAACCGACAAGAAGAGAGCCTATTCCCCTACCTTTAAGGCTGGCAACGCTTTTCCACCTCCTCTGGTGGCCACACTAGATGGGCCACCATGTTCATGTGCGACGATGATCACATACCATCAGGTCAATCGGTCGCTCATTTTCCGTCCTATCAATAAAATATTTGTTGGTCTGTTTTGGGTATGACGCATCGGCTCGATTCAGTTCGCATTAATTTTATATGATTCATTTTCCTAATAACTTAGACCATACGTCTTCAACACCCACCGACTTCTGAACGTAGTTTTTACTTCATTCCCAACTTTCCTTTTACCTCCACATATCGTCATCCTCCTGCACTTATCTCACCTAGACATAGGGGGGGGGGGGGTGTAGGCACATGTGAATCGTGTTTTAAGTGGATTTGGCTAGGTTTTTACGACCTGCCTGACACGGAACTAACTCCCAGATGTGAAACAGTTATCTGTGAGTCACACAAATACATGTCTCGTGTGGGAATGGAACGCACATGTCAATTCATTAAACTTCATTAACATATTTTTTTTCAAAGTATTTCGATTCTTCCTCGTTCACTTTGCTTATAACATGTGTTTTCTTTTCCAAACATGATTGTGAAGACGAATGCTTAAGTATCTTCTTCCACAAGGTGATGCGTTTTTGATCGATTATTGCCGCATATCGATAATTGGTTGTGTTCTATGTGCAGTTGATACAGCTCACAAAGTTTATTTTTAGTGTTCAGAACTTCTCGCACAATATATCGTGGGTTTGCTACAAGTGCCAAATTAGCCGACCACGTAAACACTGCGCAATCCGACATCTCTTCTTGGCTGAGGCTCTGACGCATGCACAAAGCAATCGCAAAACGCCTTTAAAATAATATTTTTCGTGGCATTGTTACCGAGACTTAAAGCTATCACCTAAAATTACTCGAGTTACACCTACGACTGTCGAGTCTGGGGACTCCGATGTATCAGTGTCTACGATAGGTCTGTGTGTGTACTAAAATTTGTATATACCTGTGATTAACAGAAACGCGCTTCACGTGCCGTCTTTATTGCAGAAACTTAACAACTAAAATATATGCACGTAAAATTTGTATATGCATTGGACATGCCTCTCGTATTATTCCGCTAAGCCACTTTTATGTGTAATTTGACGGTCCGTTGGTCGAACCATGGAGTATCCATGCAGATATTATGAATGAAAGAAATTAAATGAAATGAATATTATTGAAATTCGATGTACTAATTCTTTATTGTGGAACCTTTCCTATTTTATCGTTGCGGTCAAATGTTAGTGGTTTTAGTTGACTTGGTTATATCAATCATTTATAACAATGATCTCTTCATATTTATTATTTCAATTTTAATTATGCGTAATTCATGAGAAATGGTATCAAATTGGAACGCTGCTGCTTTAGTTTTTTTCTAGTAAAGGAAATGGATATAAATATTAGTTTCCGTTGATAATATTGATGCTAACAATAGGTTTTCGTATTATTAATTTTATGTATGTTGTTACAATATTGTATTGTTCGATTTGTTTGATGTCATGTAATGTTTACAGTTCCGTATAAACAAACCACAAGTTTTCTCAAGAATCATTCATTGAAAAAACTCGACTTGTTTTTAATACTTTCAATTTCCGCAGGCATTTTGTTGTATACATAGATTATATAATAAACGTTCTACATCAACATCAATTTATACGGGTAAACCATTGAAGTTACGTGAGCATTAATATTTGCTTAAAGTTAGTTTCTAACACAACTTTTGCATTTGCAATATTTTTATCATTTTGAATGAATTAAACATCAGATCTGTCAAATATGTTGGCAACCGCCAAAATTTCCGTTTTCGACTTTTCTTCCGATTCATCTTAGAAAAATTAAGATTTTCTAATAAAAGTATATTGCATGCGTTTACTCAGTAATAATGTAATTTTATAGAATTGAATCATATGTTAGAATCGTCGGCGTACTTTCGTAAGCAAAGCTTTCACATTATTTTTTCTAAAAGACAACAATGACATGGCGGCACGGTAGATACGGAATCCGGCATATTTCCGACACCGGACGCGCAAATCGCGGGCGTCTTTGCGTCCGGGCGGGAACTCGCGTCGAGTAGAGCGCGCGAAACTCCTCGGTCCAGTTGCAGCGGCCGCGTGACGTATGCAGGCGGGCGGCGATAATCCGCCGGTCGGAATGTTCGCGCCGATAGTGCCGGGGTCGCTCACCTCGCCGAAACGTCTGCGGCCCTGTTCCGTCCGCCTTGTTAGCGGCGGACATCTGGGACGTATGCGCGGACCGCTCATTAATGCGCGAGCGTGCCACGCCCCTGGTCGGGCAACACCACACGCGACGGTGTGGCAATCGGCCCTGTTTTTTTTTAGTATTTTTATTTGTAATTTACGTCTCGCGAGTTACGAGCGGCCTGTTGCGTGGACTTATGTTCGCGTTGCAGTGCCTAGATTGAAAAAAACAGTCATAGAGATTGCCGACAGAGTTTAACACTTTGAAACTGGAATAGCACTTTTTTATTTTTAAATGAATTGAATGAATATATGGTATGAATTAAAGTCACAAAACGCTAATTCGACTTGTAAGAGACGTATTTTATTTCTGACAAATTAAACGATAATTTTGAGTACTTTTTTATAAAAATTTTTTGTGGGACAAAAACACTGTCGAACAATTAGAAATTTTTTTTACAGGAATCAAATATTATAATTGAATTTATTATAGTTATATAATATACAGCGTGTCGTTACCATCGCGACAATAAATGAACACACGTCTAACGCTACTTGCCAATAATAATAAAATAATATTAACGTTAAACAAAATCCATAAAAAAAAATATTTTTCAAACAAACTAATTAAGTAAAAGAGAAACAAAATTTGTAACATCCTATACAACTCGCGCCACAGCGTCGCATTACAAGCCTCTCCTTCTAACAGTATGTTTTGTCTCTTTTAAATTCATTCAACCCATTCATATACTTTGTGACCTTTACAAATGAACTTAATGTTACAGTTTTATACGTGAGGGTGTTCTAAAATTCCTTGTTTTGGAAAATTTAATAACTCTGTAAATATTGATGTTTAAAGAATGTAAATGTTTAATACAATTTTAAAGAGTTATACCCAATATGTGTGTTCATTTATTGTCGCGATTGTAAAGACACGCTGTATAATGTAATATTATAATGTAAAATACATTAGAAAACCAAATGATATCAAGATTTACGTCACCAACGTTTACGTTATCAAAAGTTCACTTAACATTGACATTAGTGTCTTAGAATGTCGGACACGCGGACTTGAGTGACTATGAATTTTTCCCCGTCGAAAAATCCCCAAAGTGCCTATAGTTTTCACTTAGAAATGCTTTGAATTTCTCCTTTAGCTTGAATCAGCTTTTGTGCATAAAACTGTGTTTAAATGTGACTTAGTAAAGAATAAATATTTTCATTTCGCGTATTCTCCGTTAAGGCATTTTTTATGGTTTGGTTTTTGCATTTGTTTCTTCAAATCGCCCGAGCAAAGTCACGAATGAACATACTTATGCTCGAATGGTTTGTAGGATATTTGGAATTCGACATTAGGCCAAGTTTGCGGTAAAGCGTATCTAACGGGACGCTGGTCGATTAACGAAGCTTCGCACATAAAAAAGTCAATTGGATACGGTTTCTTCTTAAGTGCGTCTAACCAATAAACATCCTTAAAAGAAATGTGTTAAGACTTAATTTTGTTTAAACTTCCTGCTGTACTACGCGAAATTTACATACATTTGCAATCAATATTATTGATAGAACGGTCTTTACGAGTATCCGTATTCTGAACGAAACGGTGTTTAGTCATTACGAATTTTTATGCTGAAGGAAGATTCAGATATTAATATGAGTATACTATATTAAATCTCGCTCAAGACGTACCTACATTGTTTAGCATATAAATAACGGAAACATTATGACAATATTTCCTGTATTTATATGTTATTTTAGCGCATTCGTCTCGCATCATTTCTACTCATGTTAATCTGATTTCCGCCCCTAAATGTTTAAATGGGGGGTCTATTATAGCAGCATTTTATCTATAGACGCGTCAGACGAAGGGTAAAATAGAGCCATTAAACGTTATCCCTGTTATAAGAAAGGATAAATATTGAGTTACTCTGTTAAACTCCAAGCATGGTACGTGATTAACGAATGAAGGAAAAATATCTTTTTTATGTAAGAAGACAAGCGAGCTGGCGGTTCACCTGATGTTAAGTGATAACCGCCGCCCTGCAACCCTAATATCTGCAACCCTACGGGTGTTGCAAATGTCCATCATTTGCAACACCCGTAGAGTTGTAGATACGTTGCCACCTTTTAATGAAGTGGGGCCCCGGCTACCTCACTCACCAGACGAAACGCAGAAATATGAAACTTCCAATTCACGCCAGTCTTCTGCGAGGTCGTGGTACTTCCCCGGAAAAACCTGCCCATTCGTGCAACAGCGAACTGTTACGTGGCCCGACACAGTAGAAAACATTTAAGTATATCGCCTTTTATATCGCCAAAACAGAGCGAACAACGGATCTATACCTGTGCAGGACCACGCAACAGATACCTCATTCACCAGACGAAACGCAGAAGTATGACACTTCCACTTCACGCCGGTCTTCTGTGAGGTCGTGGCGTGACTCACTGTGACGGACTTGCTCATTCGTGCAACAGAAAAGACTTGCGTGGCCATACCAGAGTCTTTATTATACAGTAAGGCGATTATTTCAATATGTATAAGTATGTAAAAAAAAGTGGAAGCAACCGTTATATTTGCCAGTGAAGATCACTCCGTAGAAAACCTACCAGTTTACGTAACCTAATTTACTCATTGAAGCTCATTTACGCAATTGTGTCGGTTATAGGCGTAACGTATTACGGATGATGGTTTGTAGTTGTTAGTTAGCGCTGTTTTCTGAAGGATACGATTGAAGGTCATTTATAATGCGAGTATTCTCTTTTCAAAGTTTGGTATCGTTGAACTATGTATGTAAATGTGTGTTTGTGGTCAAATTTCAATAATTATAAACAATCATTGCCGATCACTTAGATTAGAAGGCCGTTTCGCGTCAAGACGTCGCTGTTAGATTTAACTTATGCTATCTATAATGTAATAATTCCGATCTCATATTAGAAGCCAAATAATAATGATTTTGCGTCTAGGCGTCGTTAACTGATTTTACTTAAGCGTCTATAGCGTAATGTTACCGATCACATATTAGAATTTAGAATCCCCATGATAATGATTGTGCGTCTATACGTCGTTGACCGACTTAATTTGAGAGTCTGCAGCGTAATGGTTCCGATCACTTACATTAGAGGCCCAATGATAATGACTTTGCGTCTAGACGTCGCTGACTAATTTAACTTAAGTGCCAGTAGCTTAATGATACCGATCACTGATATTGTCCAATGATAACGAATTTGCGACTAGTCGTAACTTACTCATTAACCTAAGCGCGTGTAATTCCAATGATTCCAATCACTTAGAAGACCAATGATAATGATTGTTGTGTCCAGACATCACAGACTGAATTAACTTGAACATCTGTAGCGCAATGATTCCGATCTCTTATATCAAAAGCGAAATAATAATGATCTTTCACGTCTAGACGACGCTGATAGATTTAACTTAAACTTTGAGTAACGTAAGCCAGAAGCGTTATGGTCTGACAGAGGCGAGGACGCTCTTCCCTTGTCGCGTCACGGCCGTTCACGCGCCATCGCTTCGGGAACACGCGATTCGTGTCCGTCTGTCTGTCTGCAAACAAGCTCGTGATTGTACGCGTAGTCATGGTACATCCGATTGTATATATAAATGCCTATATCCGTGTTTCCGTCTGATTTAAACTTGATTCTTGAAAACGAAAGTCAGTACTTCTGAGCTAGGTGCCTAAACCATCTATAGCACATTTTTATGTAGGATGGTAGAGGTTAAGGTTTTTCAATGAACCGAATAGCCGACTCTTATCGAACGATATTTCATTACTTTTAAGTAAAATCATTTTATTGTGGTACACGCAGCAGCTTTTTGCTGTTGAATGAATTGATGGTCTCATCTGTTATAAGACCGCGGTCTCTTTGGAGTATTCGTACTTAAGTATTTCTGTTGAGTAAGGTAATCGGGGCCCACTTCTTAAACGTTGGCAAAGCAGCTACAACCCCTCGGGTTGAAGTTGTCCATGTTGAGCTAGATTTCAGGTGACCCTTCATGACCTACTCCCATTATGATAATAACATTACGTGATTGCGTAACATATGAAAGAACAACATCATATTCACACTATATTAGTTTCTCTAAGTCAGTCAGGAGACAGGTCAGTTTGTGCAATGATTAAGCACTGACGTGAGTATACCGTAACGGCTACAGTCTATTACATTGCGTTATTATTTAGAAAAAGTTATCGCGTCATCACCGAGATGCCAATACGGATATCGACGAATACCAGCGGAGCTATATCGACGAGATTCTTGGAAGTTGCCCATGAATAATGAGTGCGTAGACCACGTGGGCTTGGATGATCCGTTTATTAGCTTAAATATTGTTCCCGGGAAAAATACGCGCCTCTAGTGCTCGAACCCGGTGTAGATTTACCTTTGCAGATTTTGTAATCGGTTTAAACTTTCTTATCAAAGGCATGTAATAAAAGGCTATCGTCACGAATATAATGGATAGTCTAATAAAAGTTTGTGTGGTATAGATATACACTTAGGTTATTATCATGAGATTATGTTGTAGATTTGTGTGAAATGTGCGTTTCTTATTTCTTGAGACGTAATAAATCTATCAGTCTGCATTGTAACGTCATATACGATATTGCTTAAGGCGAATTAAATCTCACACATTTTATCTTAGTGCTAAGATAAAAACTCGCTGATAAGAGGAACAGTTATGACATACGAAACTTTTACTCTTTATTTTACACATGAAATATTCACTGTTTTGAATTTTCCATTGTCGTAATCAAGAACACTTTGAATTACGACATAAAAGTGTACTTTTTAAAGATAAGATTACGTCCAGATCGTTCTTCCGGGTTGATAGTAATAGGCTAAAATAAAATAAAACAAATGTACCTTTGAATCTCTTCATCAATAATAGGAAGGCGTAGATAGCAGTAAAAATAATAGTTACTTAAAATGTCTCTCTGTATTCAGTTTGAACCGTGACCCTGCCACGTGTTTAGTATTCGAACAGTGTTGTGCCCGCGATTGTTCCGTGTTTAAACAAGTTAAGACGAGCGTTTCAGTGGTGGTTCACTTCT